CTTCCAAACAATAACCTCTCTTCCCTCTCCCTTCCTACCTGTCTTCCATCCATCAACAACAGCCTTCAGTAAAGGTAAGTGTTATGTGTAATGTTCATTGTTTTGTGCATGTAAATCTAACTTTAAGGTAAAAAAAATTTTTTTTTGATACTTCTGGGTGTCTGGAACGAATTAATTCCATTTACATTATTTCTTATGAGCAAAATGGTTTCAGTTTTGGCCGATGGCTCTGGAATGGATTGAACATAAAAACCAAGGGTCCACTGTAATTACGCATACAGAACTTTTTCATTTTTTTTTTAATTTATGATACAATTCTTTACTTCATTCGGTAAGCTATTCCACATTTTTATCCTTTTATAAAAATACAAATACAATGGAACCCCGAGTTTCGAACGTATCGATCATCGAACTCTTCAAGTTTCGACTACTTTTTTTTAACCAATTTTGTCCCGATTATCGAACGTGCCCCATCTTTCGAACCGCCGGGTACCGGACCTGTCCACCAGCCCGCTCTGTCTGCGTCCCCACGCTGGCGTCGTGAGCCAGTCTGGCTTTGTTGATGCTTGAGTGAACACTAACCTCCACACTCATTCAAATATTTCACTATTAATTTATTGTGTTTAGTGCTTGTGCGACTGTGAAATAAGCTACCATGAGCCCAAAGAAACTTGCTAGTGGTACCCCTGTGGTAAAGAAAATGAGAAACACCATAAATGTGAAGAAGGAAATAATACAAAAATATGAGAGTGGTGTGCAACTTGTTGAGCTTGCCAGGATGTACGGCAAAAACAAAGAACAGTCGATCAGGTTGAGAAGTTGTTGCTGGTGTGGATCATGGATAAAGAGATAGCAAGTGATAGTGTTTCGGAGACAATTATTTGTGAAAAGGCAAGGAAGTTGCATGCCAGTCTTATAAAGAAAATTCCTGGAACCAGTGCTGATAGTGAATTTAAGGCCAGCAGAGGCTGGTTTGACAGATTTAAGAAGCATACACAACGTTGTAAGGCATGGCAAGGCAAGTTCAAACAAATGGGCAGCTGAGAAGTTTGTACAGGAGTTTAAGGGGTACGTAGACACTGAAAAATTGAAACCCCAACAAGTGTTCAATTGTGACAAAACAGTCCTGTTTTGGAAGAAAATGCCAAAGAGGATCTACATTACTCAGGAGGAAAAGGCACTCCCAGGACACAAGCCTATGAAAGACAGGCTAACTCTCTTGCTCTGTGCTAATGCTAGTGGTGATTTTAAAGTGAAGCCTTTATTTGTGTATCACTCAGAAAATCCCAATGTCATTAAGAACAAGTTATGCATCCTGTGGAAAGAAAATAATAAGGCATGGGTCACAAGGCAAATTTTCAAAGAGTGGGTCCATGATGTGTTTGGCCTGTGAAAAAATACCTACTAGAAAATAATTTGCCACTCCAGTGTCTCCTGTTAATGGACAATGCTCCTGCACATCCTCCAAACTTGGTAGACCACTGTCTAGGGACTACAGTTTCATCACAGTGAAGTTCTTGCCTCCTAACACCACTCCTCTCCTCCAGCCCATGGACCAGCAGGTCATTTCTAACTTCAAAAAAATTCTACACAAAAGCAGTGTTTGAAAAGTGCTTTGAAGTGACCACAGACACTAAGCTGACCCGAAGAGAGTTCTGGAGGAATCACTTCAATATTTACAGCTGCGTGAGCCTAAAAGGTAAGGTTTGGGAGGTAGTGACTTCCAGGACTTTGAACTCTGCTTGGAGACAATTGTGGCCCCAATGTGACTTCCAGAGGGATTTTGAAGGGTTTGAGGCTGACTCTGGCCCTGCTCACCCCTCTGCCTGTTGTGGACTCTATTGTGGCATTGGGGAACACCCTGGGGCTGGAGGTGAGTGGAGAGGATGTGGAAGAGTTGGTGGATGACCACAAAGAAGAGCTAACCACTGAACAGCTGGAAGAGCTTCATCTGGAACAGCATCAGACCACAGCTCAGGAACTTGCTTCAGAGGAGGAGGAAGAGGGAATGGATGAGGTGCCTTCTTCACATATTAAGGAGATTTGTGCCAAGTGGAATGATGTGCAAATGTTTTTGGAGAAGTACCACCCTGAGCAAGCTGAAACAAGCCATCTCTGCAACAAGTTCAGTGACAGAACCATGTCCCACTTCAGGAAAATCTTAAAGAGGCAACAGAAACAGAGTACTGTGGACAGTTATTTTGTGAGACAGGGGTCCAGTGACTCTCAAGCTGGTCCTAGTGCCAGTAAAAGACAAAGAAGGGAAGTAACCCCAGAGAGGGCTTTGATACCTAAAGTCCTTATGGAGAGGGATTTCCTTTCCAGACAATAACCCCAACTCCCTCTCTCCTCCTCCCTATCTTCCAGATGCCATCATCAATCTTCAATAAAGGCAAGTAAAAATGTTATATATATATATGTTTATTTAAATTTATTACTAATTGTACTATGTATGTTTGTTGTGTGTATGTAAAACTAATGTAATCTCTATAAAATGTATTTTTTTGTGAATATTTTTGGGTTTCTGCAACGGATTAATTGTATTTCCATTATTTCTCATGGGAAATATTGGTTCGACTTTCGAACATTTCGAGTTTAGAACTAGGTCCTGGAAAATAACAAAAAAAAGGGCACAATACCATAAATGGTCCAAGTCGGACCGAAACATCGTCGTAAGCTCCTCTCTTCTATGTGCAGGTTATTTGTGTATAGCTCCTGGAACAGATTAAGTTCAAAACTCAAGGTTCCATTGTATAGGGCTGAAAAGAATGAAAAGACTATACAGCCTCTCCTCACTTAACAATGGAGTTTTGCTCCAAAGACCACATCGGTAAACGAATTTGTCGCTAAGTGAGGAGCATACTATAATGGTAGTGGGTTTGTGTCAACCATCTTTGATATTGTTTTAATGTCACCTTTGCACCATTTATAACTTTTCTGGTATAGTATATTTTTAAATGTTTATACAGCAGTGTACTCTATATTGTAATAAACAAAATACACATGTAGAGGAAATCAGCTCTAATATACATTATTTAGGTATGCATATTGGTCAGAGAGCCCGTCTTAAGTCCACGTCATCGGTAAACGAGTACGTCGTTCAGTTAGGAGAGGCTGCATTCTTAAAACTATGGAAGAACTTTTGATACAATGTCCCACCATAGACTCAACCACAAACTGGATGCAAAAGTTGGGGTGGCAGGAAACTGTTCAGTAGACCAAGGAAACTCAGAATGACACAAGATAGTAAAGGTGAGGGAAGAGGTATCAGACTATGAGAAAGCAATGAGTATATTATCCCAAAAATCAGTCCAGGGACCTATACTCTTTCTAATATATGGAAATGACTTAGCTTTGGGAACTCTCTCTCCAACATGATAAGGGGGGAGGAGGCGGGAGCCGTTCAGCGTTCTCAAGAAAAAACTCGAAAAATTATGGAAATTGAGTTATTCATACAGAAAAATAGCTTAACTCTTTGGCAGCACAATGGTACAAGAATCAATGTTCTACAACGTTTCTACAAGAAATTATAGTCATTTATATCAGGTATGGTGGCGGTGATGTAGGTAGCGCGTCTGTTCTCAACCCATGTATTTTTTGGAATTTTTTCCTTGTTTTTATTGCTTTTTCTTTGCATTATTCTTTCTAATATAATAATTGATTATTTGGCATCATATAAGAGTAGGTGGAGCTTATCAATAGACGTCTAGCCTATCAGGAAGCACCTGGGTACACTCAGCAGTGCTCCCTCTCCAGAGAGAGCCAGGTGAAATCACTTCATTTTTACGCTTATATCAGCTTATATATTAACTATACCGCTTATTTATCTATCAGAATTGATCTAATATGATATAATAATCACTTTAAATAACAAACAAACATGTTATATACTCTAGACTGAATAAAATAGGCCATAATATAGCGAGAGTCCACCAGCAATATTTCAATATAAATGAGTTACTCCTCGTCTCCATGTTGTATTGTTTGGTCTGTGAGTGATAGAAAATGGTGTTTTGAAGAGGATAACTGCACTAGAACATCAGTTTACTAAGAAATACACCGAAACAAACGCGATTTTCACGAAAAAAAAAAATTTTTTGACGGCGGGCTGGCCGGCGTTCTAGGCCTATATCTCGGAAGTAACTTATTCACTTATTTCGCTTTACAACTCCATTATTAATGATTGTATTGAAATTATTTTCACAGACAATATAAAACAAAGTGTGTTTGAAATTTTAACGTTAGATTTTTTGGAATATCTCAAATAGTTTTGATTTTGTGGGGGGTAAAAGGTAGATATTTTGGTGAATGCCAAAAATTCTGTCAAATGTATTTTTTTTTACCATGATAATAAGATATATTAGATGAAATGGCAATGTAAAGACGTCGTGCTAGTTGTATTCTAACAGTTGGGAATGTCGGAAGTGCCACTCGTAGTGCCAATTTGTCATTTCATGCTGCCATATATCAAAATTATGTTAATATTTTTTTTCTATGTTGTTTGTTGGCCAATCATACTGAAACTTTGTCACATTCTTGTACATATACACCTCTAAAAGTACACCAAAAATAAAATAAATCAGTTGAAAAATAAAAAAAATAAAAACGAAAGATGGCTGGTTTGTTGATATCAGTTTAACTGGTGAAAATACGGCAAACAAGAGAATGGAGATCAATTCCTGGAATGATTGAGGTTGAGGAGAGACCAGAGCCAGAATATGTAAGTAGAGGAAAAATTACTTGATATTTGGCAATAAAAAAAGGGCTTGGAGGTGAATTTTATGCCAAATACCCTAGGAGGGACAAATTAACTACATAACATCAGTGGCAGGCAAGAATAGTGATAAGTGCCTTTAAAGGACTAGGCAAGATAATCATTCAACTATTATACACCACATACACATGCAGTATGCAGTACCAGTGGGGAACCCACATTCACATGGGGAAGTCCTGGTAATGCAGGATAATTACTTGTAGCAGACAATAAGGCAGAAACTTACCATAATCGAAGTGTAGCTTTGTATACAATCCCTGTCGAAGGGGCCGCTGCTGACGACACTCACATGGCACTAGACATACAGAAATGGTGAACACAAACAAGGACACGTGGCCATAGAATATATGTGGACAGAGGAGAAAAATAACTATAAATCAATCAGGAAGTTATAAATTTCAATAAAATTTATAGGATTAATATACTGTATTATAATATTTTATTCCAAAATACAAGAAAGGGTTGAGTTCCCTCTAATGCTAACTCACTAGGAATCTGTTTTTCCAACATTGTTGTGGTTAGATATACGTTCAGTGTCCTTTTTTAACCCTTTGACTGTTGAGACCCCAAATCCTGAAGTGTCTCTCTGTGTTGCAAAATACAGTAGACTGTCGTTTAACACTGTTTTACTTGGCACGTTGTGGTTATAGCACTATTGAAGAATTGCGGCATATTTTTGTGTAACACATCGTAGAATTAACTTAATGTGGTTCAGTTTGTGGTACGGGAAAATTGGTTCTCTCGTGAGGTTTAATCTGACTAGCTGGTGATGATAAGTTACTACTCACTTAGCTTTCCTACTGGAATATTAGCTGCACCCCGAGGAAATATTGGAGTGTCACCCACGGGATACACTCTGCCTGGCTGTGGGTTAGACCACTGAGTCAATGGGGGAGACCTACCACCATCCCCCAAATCCCTCCACCACCCTCACCACCCTAGACCACCCCACCACCCTCCACCACCCCCAATACCCTTGGGTTCATACGTGAGTAGGACCATCTTCTGCTAGGTAAAACGAGTAAATACGAGTTTGTGTAATGACTGACTGACTGATTTACTGACTGACTGACTTACTGACTTGACTGATTTATGCACACTCCAGTACAACCATAGACTTCAGTACCAGAACCTCTACCATCCACCTCAGCCCAGTAGGGCCACAGCATAACTCTCCACTCTCCACAATCATCCACAATTTAAAGTAAGAAATACTATTATTTCTGTTGCATTTGTAATCTTAAGCAGTAAAAACAACATAATACATAGCGACAATGAACTACATTTACATATTCACTTATATTTTTATAAGATCTGTTGGTCTAAAATAAAGTCGTTTGGCTTTTTTGGGGGCTCCTAAGAACGTAACCCTATTTTTCCCATAAGTTCTACAGTTTGTTTAACACGGTTTTAACTAACAAAGCATTTTCAGGAACGTAACTACCGTATTAACCCTTTCAGTAGGCCTACATCTAAGAGAATGGGTCTGCGTGGTGCGTGTGCACCATGAACAAAAATTCTAGGTGCTTGTATGGCATTGTGGGAATGCCGCCTCAGTAAGCTTTGTTCACCGTGACTTGCAGCAAGGCAGCTCTTGCTCCGAGGCGAACTGGGACTCTCTTCTTCCTATCTGATAGTTCTGACTCTGATGGAAAAGAAAAGGAATTCTATGGCATTGATCGATTAGTGTTGACCAGGATATCGAAAATAGTGCAGAAAATCCTGACGATCCTCAACCTTCTACCTCTGGTGTGGGCGTGTCTCAGTCACGTTCAGTTGTACCTCACTGCAAGAAAAAACTAATATTTTCAAGTGGCCAGGCCTCAGACTTGAGAAATGATGATGATAGTAATGCATACTTTGATTTTATTGCTCTTGATGATCATTCGAGTAGTGATAGTAATGAATCATACTCACTAGAGAAGTCGGTATATACGCCGCCACATGCGCTCGGGTAGTGTTCCCTATGCAGCACCAAGGGGATGGAGTACATCCCGTGGCCCTACACCAGGAATAGACAGTGAAAGTGAGGATGATGTTGCTATACTTGGCATGGATAGACCACAGGCATCAGTAGGTGGTGGTAGTGGTGATGGTAGTGCCATGGCCATGCATGACTCACCAGCCTAGGCTGGGACCCACCCCACTGACTCATCAGATCCAGGACAAAGCGGAGCGTCATCCACCACCACACCACAACTACAACCACAACCAGCTCATCATATCCAGTATCCACTGCAAACTGCATCTGGGATTGGCAGCAAAATTCCAATTTTGTCCCCAGTCCCCATCAGTTTGACAACTCTCAATGTGGAATACTACCAGCTTGTTCCCTTGGAAACACTGCAAATGCACTGAAATTCTTTGAACTATTCTTTGACCAGCCCTTGATGGAAATTATTGTCAGGGAAAGTAACAAGTATTTTGAGTACACAATGGCACATACAATCATATCACCACAGTCAAGACTACACGGGTGGAAAGAGACAACTGTGGCTGAAATGTATTTGCTTTTTGTAACAATAATGCTTATGCTTCATGTCTATAAGCATAATATAAAATCATACTAGTCCACAGATCAGCTAATTTGTACCCCAGCCTTCAGTGAAATCATCCCAGTGAACAGGTTTATCTTACTATTACATATGTTGTACTTCTCTGACAAAACTAGGCCTGACAGAAGTGACAGGTTATACAAAATTAGAAATGTTTTTACGTAACTGAAACAAAAGTTAAACATGTACTTTTATCCATTCAAGAATCCTGTAATTGATGAGTCTTTGATTTTGTTCAAAGGTAGACTGTCATTCAAGCAGTATATACCAAGCAAGAAGAAGCGTTTTGGTATAAAACTGTTTGTACTCTGTGACTGTGACAGTGGCCTGGTATTGGATATTATTGTATACACAAGAAGTAAAACATTTAAAGATACCAGGATGTTATTGGGTATCTCAGGTGACATAGTGAGAAGCATGATGGCACCTTATCTTGGTAAGGAGCATACATTATATACTGATAACTGGTACACAAGCCCTTTACTCAGTGATTTCTTGCAAGTGAACATGACAGATGTGTGTGGTACAGTGCGCTCTAATCGTAAACGTATGACCAGGTTCAGCGCAGGCACTCATGGTAGTGAGGTGCAGGTGTTTACTGCCAATGACATCATGGCATTACGGTGACATGACAAACGAGATGTCACATTGTTGACGACCATTCACCCTAACGAAATAAAAGACAGTGGCAAAGTTGATAGTGACTAATAAACGCATTCTACAACCAGTAACGGTGATTGATTATACACAAAACATGCATTTGGTTGACAAATGTGACATGCAGATTGGGTTTATCGATTGTGTTTGTAAGAGTTACAAGTGGTACATGAAACTTTTCTTCCATCTCATGGACATTTCAATGCTCATTGCATATAATATGTACCAAATAAAGACTGGCAACAGACCACCATATGGTGAATTTTGTTTGTCTGTTGTCATATAACTCATAATGAAGTACACTAGGTAACAACACCTGCTATACAAAACCGTCCTCAAACTCCTCAGGAAATACCCAAGTGTTTGAGGAGGAAAGGTGATCACTTCCTAATACAGCTTCCTGCAAGTAAGAAGAAATGGGCTCAGAAGAGATGTGTTGTCTGTGCACAAACAAAATGACGGGAACAAAGACACTCGGTTTATGTGAGAGGAATGTAAGGTACCTCTGTGCATACCTTGTTCAAGGACTTCCACAGACTGCAGCAGTTCTAGAAACATGTCCAGTGACTGTACATATGTAAACATATAATAAAACATTAGTAATATACAACATTTGTGCATGTTTATTGTTGTAAACAATACCGGTAAACAATATTATAATAATAACTTTAGTGAGGTTATTGTGTTCAATATAGTGAGTGTATATATATATACATTATATACAGTATTGGTCTCACAGGCCACAAATGTTACTAGAAAAAGAAAAAAATAGAAAAGAAAGTATAAAAAATGTAAAATAAAAAAATGCGATTTTGCGGAAGCCGCTGATGTTGCTGCCACCCGGTCATTTTGGGTCAACTTCACGCCTCTATATCTCAGTAAGTACTGATGAGAATTTTTTTTTTTTTTGCTTTATTACCTTCACAAAATTATTATTTTTAATTCTGTAAGAAAAAAAAAATTTTCTTTTTTCAAAATTTCTTGGACATTGGGGCATCCATTAAAATTTTGCCTCTGGACCATGAAAGGGCTAAACAACAGTCTACTGTTTTTGGAAAAAAATAAAAATCTTATGAAATGATAGAGAATCTTTTCCCAATGGTAATGACACCAAAAGTACGAAATTTGATAGAAAACTCACAGAATTACGCCCTCGCAAAGTTAGTGATCTTGGCAACCCGGTGGCCTGGTGGCTAAAGCTCCCGCTTCACACACGGAGGGCCCGGGTTCGATTCCCGGCGGGTGGAAACATTTCGACACGTTTCCTTACACCTGTTGTCCTGTTCACCTAGCAGCAAATAGGTACCTGGGTGTTAGTCGACTGGTGTGGGTCGCATCCTGGGGGACAAGATTAAGGACCCCAATGGAAATAAGTTAGACAGTCCTCGATGACGCACTGACTTTCTTGGGTTATCCTGGGTGGCTAACCCTCCGGGGTTAAAAATCCGAACGAAATCTTATCTTATCTTATCTTATCTTGAGCTCTATTTTTTGGCCAAATCCATTGTTCCAGTTGACCAAACTCAATCTTTAGAACTCCATTTGTTCTATCGACTGAGTACAAGAAACCACCCATTTAAGGATTTCAACTACCAAATAAAGTGGTCAGAAATTGTCAATTTGGCCAATTTCATGTAAATTAACCCTTTCAGGGTCGAGAGGCCCTCTCCTAAACTCGTTCTCAGGGTCGAAAATTTTTTGGAAAAAAAAAAATTATTATTTCTTATGAAATGATAGAGGATCTTTTCCCAATCATAATGACACCAAAAGTATGAAATTTGATGGAAAATTTACGGAACTATGCTCTTGCGAAGTTAGCGGTCTCGATGATGTTTATGCATCGTCGATTTTGCCCACTTTGAGCCCTATTTTCGGCCAATTTAAGTGTACTAGTCGACAAAACTCATATCTATTTCGCTAGAACTCCATTTTTTTCTATCAAATGAGTGCAAGAAACCACCCATTTACCGATTTCAAGTATCCAATAAAGTGGTCAGAAATTGGCAATTTTGCCAATTTCACACAAATTTCAGAAGATGCCAATTTCCAAATAGGGTCCAGAATAAACAAGACAGACATTCCT